CCTCTAATATCATCAATTCACAGACACTTACCTTCCTTCCTCCCCCCCCCTGCATCTCCCTTCTGTTCTGTAATGTGATTTGTCCTTTTCATATGTGTTCATTTTTTTTAATTGTATCCTTTGGTATATATGGTTGTGACTATTTTCTTCTACCATTTGATCTGAGGAAGTGGGTCTGGCCCATGAAAGCTCATCATCTAATATACCATCTTGTTAGTTTTTAAAGTGCTACATAGTCCTGTATTTTGTTCCTGCTATAGGTCCCCTGTGAACCACCAGGCTTTCCAGGGTCCCACTCTATAACCTCCAGTTCCAAACCACAGAATAGCTCTCTCTACTTGCCACTTCTCTCAGCTGTCCCCATGTAGCACTTAGTCGTTGAGCAGCACAACCCTCACCTGATGAGCAGAAGCTGCACAGGCAGCTAAGTTCTTACAGAGCTAGCAGACTACTCTGCCATCAACTTCCTACCAATCCAAGGCAAGCATATGAGCCTGAGGGGCCAATTAACCAACATTAATCACCACACCCTCAGTAACATTGACTGTCAAAAGTTGTAAGTCTTGTTTGCATGACATGCAGCCTGGTTCACTTAGGTCAGGCAAAAAGAATTCCCACATGAGCCTACATTTAAAAACGAAGAAACCAAAATGGGCTAGTTCACTTAATATTTGTGTTGTAATGAGCAGTATCTGCTATAGCAACATCATAGTGACATTCAATATAGAGTCAAGCTTACCTCACAAATTTGTTTCATATTGAACTAATATATCTGGTTTGAATTAAAATAATATCTTTTCTTCATTTAGTTTATTTTGTCCCTCATGATATATACACAGTCAGTTTATGGTTTGGCTTTATTTCAGCTTTTCATTAATTATTCTCTCTCTGTGTGTGTAATAAATTAATATAAATGAGAATGTGGTTTTTAATTAGGCATTTTAATTAGATGAAAATTAATAATTAAGTTTCTGCATAATTTTTCCTATTTAATCAATGGTAATTTATTCATTGAAAGAGGCACATATGTGACTTGGGAAATTCAACAACTCCTTATTAACTTGCCCAGATCACCAGATTAGCTATGGGTAAAATGATGGGATTGCTTTGTGACATTTAAGGAGCTTGTGATCATGCCAGCAAATATTTTCACCTATTCATATTTAGTGTGCAAATAAGACTTTTGTGGGACTTAGGCTCCTTCCCACTGCAGCCATATGCCATGATCCCCACAAAAAAAGCTTCTTCCTGAAAAGAGAATAAAGCTGTCATAATTCAAACAAAGAACATTGAGCAAAGACAAACCCTGGGATCTCTGTTGAAATATAGTAATATACTGCAAATAAAAGAAGATATGAATAAGATGTCCTTATGCATATGCAGAATATGCAGCTGCATATGGCACCTGAAAACGTGGGGCATCACTGGATCGTAATGTCCACCCACCTGCCTCTTCCTATCCCTGTTTTGTGGCTCTGTGTCCTCCAGAGAGGACCTGGTTAAAAGTGAAAAAGCCTGCCAGACCTATTAGCAGATACTGAAGCTGTGAAAGAGCCATTTGAGTAGTTATGAAGCCATTTAACAGGTATTTGCTAATCCCAGGTATGTTCTGTTTTGTTTTTGAACACTCCTGATAGTCCTGCATCAAAATGGCAAGAGCCTAGTGAGTGAGCTTCCGCAAAAAATGAGTCACAAGGTAACAGCGGCAGCAGCTGAACTGAGAAAAAGGGTATACACTGTACAATAAAAAAGGGTATACAGTATGTACAATAAAAAGGGTTAAGAACACTTTATATACAGTATATAATGTATACAGTGTATATATATAACCAGTTTATAGTACCTCCTGATAGTCCAGCATATTTGATAATCCGGCACCACCTAGGTCCCATAGGTTCCGGATTATCAGAAGTCTACTGTAATCAGTGCAAGATTAACAAGCTCTCTGGCCCCCAAAGCAACCAGAGAGAGGGGAGTTGGTGAGCATAGTGATCACGGAGTGCAGCCCCCTGGTTGTTTCTAATCGATATTCTGTGTTGAAACAGAAGCAGAGCATAGTAGTGTGATCCTGTTTCTTCCACAGTGGGAGAGAAGGGAGTGTGATTTTTCAGAGATCTTGTTCAGAGAACTCAGTTGGGGAAGGCGGGCAACTCAGATTCATACATAATGTATGGTTGTCATGCCACCTGCACGATATTTTCTAATCTCTGCCTGAAATGTCAATGTGCAGTCTCGGCACTGCAGACGGAGAGAATGTATATACAGTGCAGAGATATATTCAGTGATTGGGAGATGCCTACAAAGTATGGCTGGTGAAAGAGA